GCATAAGTTTGTTTCATTTTTTAGTGATCAAATTTGATGTTGATTCGTAAAGGGTTTTTTCGCGTTTATTTAGATCAATGTTAAAAATAGTATTAAGTTGTTTGATTCAGATCCCAGGTGATGAACTCTGGGCCTACTATGAAAAAGGACCCCATTAGAAATTATTTCAAAGTAGTGGTTTATTTGCCTGGTTCAGTGGAAGTTTCTTACAGAGCGTTGTTTTGGTTGATGAATACTTGCCCTTGCTATGATTGAAGTAGTCCTCCTGTGCACTGTAGTAGCCGAAGAACGTATCAAACCCTCTGTACGTCGGTGTACACTCCCATTTGCAGAAACCCAGGTGCCATCTTGAAAACGATGGGAGGGTGATGCGTTGTGTAGCATAGTGTAATATGAGACTGTTTCGTATATGGTGATAGTGTGAACTCATTTATCAATCACTCTTATCAATCATTTTAAAGAATTATTTCAATTCCCCGCATTCCCGTGAAGATCCGTGGTTATAATAGATCTTCAACAACCCATTCTTGTCCTAAAAGTCGACTACTTGTGGTAAGAGGCGACTAACGGGATCGGGTGGTCAGACTCGCTGACTTGATTGATGCATGTCATGGTATCCCATGATCAATGCTCATGATGTTAACCAGTGGAATGTCTGGCACAGATTCGATTATTTACAGACCGCTGTCATATAGCTAGAATATTGAAGAGTGCGGCGTTAAACAAGTTACAAACAAACACAATTCCTTGCGAACACAGAATGCATTCATATACATTTGTGTAACTTACTTGTTACGTATCCGAGATTCCATTCTTCCTTGTTCTTATATATAGTGAACACTGATTACGGCAGACAAGACACATTGTATCAAAAACTTTCATTGGTACATCAACATAAACAAATGGGCAATATCACACTCAAAAGAGGCAGTTGTGCTCTAATGCTGGACTTACTTGCCGACCATATGGGTAGCATAGCCGAGTTTCTTCAACTCTTGTGGCAGGAAGGTGTAGTTGAGAGGCACACATGCGGCCTGATCATCGATAAGAACTTCGTGCTACAATGTGAAATTAATATATCGCACCCTATGACATCAAACTAGACAACAGTATACACGGTATTAATTACACTCTTGGATCAGGGGGCGCTGACCTCCAACCGATTCTAATTGGTAACAGATAAAAACTTATTCACAAAACCTTATTCGTTCCATCATCGTAAATTTAATTATTTAATGCCTAAATTCAATTTGTTTGGACAGGGAAGGGGAATCTGTTTGTTTTACTTACCTGCATACCCACTTTGAATGGAAACATTCCACTCATGAAGGCTGTGCGAGACCTGTTAGTGGATTAGTGAAAATCAGTGATGACAACCGTTGTTCGCCATAATGGAAAGCATGTCCTGTCCTACTTGCAGCACCCATTACACACACTTTGCATGAAAAGTACCGTATTCGACGTAATAAGCGCCCAGGGCGCTCTCCAAATTAGAAATAGGGGGCTCTTATTAGAATATTATTTTGGTGGAAAAAACAGAATTGAAAGATAAATTTCGTGGTTTATGCTGACAGCCTGAAATGTTTATATACGACAGATATATTTTTCCAGAATTTAATTGCCCATAATTAAGGGTGCATATAGCACACGAGTGCGTATTCTACGCGAGTAAATAAGTCTTGTGTACATTGATCAATCGGAAGGGGTGCTAATTGGGACTGTTCACTGGCCAATATATTAGCAAATATCGCCGTGGGCGCTTATTAGAGCGGGGCGCTTATTACGTGAGTACGGTATGTTTCATTAACATATTGAGGAGGACGAGAAGGCAATTATCAGTGCACATATTAACAACCGTCAGTAGTGAACATGTCTTTATCAATCTCATCTCGAAAATCCTTCTTAAATAGTACTCATAATTTTCAAGATTCAAAATCAAAGGCTGATCAGTCTACAAATACATTATGACAATAGATATCTTATATTCGTACACCAACTTTTGATGGGTTTGTTGATAATTGGGTGGAAGTTGTTGGGATACGATTGCAATATATACAGGCTTGAGTGATGTTAAAAAGCAAATGATATTTACGGGCTGCAATAAGGCTGGACATAGGCGCTCTCAAAGATGACCCCCTCTGTAGCCAGTTTGTCAATGTTAGGAGTCTTCATGTTTGGGTTTCGGAAACCAACATCGTACCACCCTTGTTGTAAAAAAACGTGACACGTGATACATTTGGGTGTGTTAGGAGTTTGAGACAAATACATAACACTGTCAGGAATAACGATTCTCGTCATCACATATATTCTGTCGGCTGATGCATTTAAATCTGATGCATAGACATATAATTTGACCTTGTATGATAAACTGATCAATTAGAACGAATAGAAGAGCGTAGGCACTTTCTCCATGAAGAAAATGGCTCACCTAAATCATCTGCAACTATGAAGACAATATTTGGGCGTTGTGTTGACGCACAAGACACGAGAACCGAGAGGAACACAAGGATGAACTTCTCCATTTCCACGGTCATACAAAAGTGATTACACCACAGACGTCCTTGTCAAGTTTTATCAGGTGGCCTTCGTTTGCTAATCAGGTGGATAGATATGATCGTATGGGATGTGTGGACAATGATGTGATGGAAAGACGCTAACGTGATTTATTACGTCAACACTACAGTCATTAAGATTTCAAATGGTTTAGATTGGTACAGGTAATATTCCATGTCCGACTTCTGATAATTTTGTTTCACATTTTATTCTGTGTCCACTTGCATTTGCGATCAAAGTTCTAAATATGTAATCTGTTAAGGATTGATTCCTATATTATAACACAGATGTTGTAATATCACAACACCTGTTTTTCCAAATACATTGACATGAGGACATTAACGTGATGGGTAGGAGCTGATGTGTGGCAATACGTCAACACCAAATTCATTTGAATTTGAACTAAATTCTTTTAAATTTCACAACTAGATCATTGACATACATGTAATACCTTCTGTCTTAAGTTTACTTTCAGTCAATGTTTCGCCAATTTCAGTCACACAATTTGCTGACCACATGCTGTCATTCGTAGTCCACTTGTACCAAGCGATAACTTATTACTTTTCTGTCTCGTTAGGTATTAATATTATCCTATAACCTTATTTATGACTGTTCTATTGCTGCACAAAATCAGTTTGTGTGCTCATTATAAGCTGGATCTTTTCGGTTTTGAATGTGTATTGGCTTTTGTTGATGTTTTTGTTGGGAACACTCAACTAGTGAATACACACTGATGGAAGTCAAGTAAACTATGTTGAAAACTTAGAATCACTTTGGGACCACTTTATGTACTTGTGTGCAATATGTTAAGAATACCCTTCGTGAGATGTTATCCATTTCTTGATGCATATAAAGAACATTGGGTATTATCGATATACCATACCATGTGCGATAAACATAAGCATCTGACAGTATCCTTATCGGTGACGTCAATAATAGGTTGATTGGTTGGTTGGTGTTTATGCATTAATATAGGTACATGTACTTTACATAGATTCATTAAGGAAAGGAGAAAATGTATAGCCTTGTCCTTGTGGATACAGTCAGTCTCTTCATGGGTTGGTGGTCATGTGCACTATTTTGGAAATCAGGTCCAGTATTAATATTATTCGGGGGTATGACTGATGTGTCTCTTTTCGACGCACAGTTGAAACTACACTTGAACCCCTTTGTCGATATGGATTCGAGGTTACGTGATGCTGGGTCTGGGTTACACATCACATTGTTGTCAGTGTGAACTTACTTATAAACTTGTAAAGGTCATTCACTCTCATTGGGTAATTGGACTCTGGCCTATGACTTTACCCCATTTCACAAGCTATTTCAACAGACCATGTTCCGCTTTTCCAATGCTTTTGCCTACAATCGGACCATATAATGCAACATATCCGACAGTTTCTTTTACATGAATTACTATTGTGCCTCAAACACAAAGTCTTGTCTTTTGTTATTAGTACACACGATTCCATGTGTTTACTTACCAGGCTTCATAAAGCACCTCATTACGAAATGAGTTTTAGTTTATTTTAAGGTTGTTTTCGAGTGTTAATTACTCTACTATTGGATATCATTTTGAGGATTTTGATTAAATGTAGACACACACTCATTTCGTCTCTCTTTGTTCTATGTGTTTTTAGGTGACTGATGTAACAAAGACAATATTGTTCTGGAAATTTGGAGGTAATACATCTGTTTTAATTATGTTGACAAATATTTCTTCAGACTACTATCCTAGGTACAGTGACATGTGCACAACTGTTGGATGGTAGTACTCATGCAAGCAAACCAACACGGAATACCATGTTCAGTGTGGTTAGAATGGAGGCAATGAGTTTATATAACTGAAGCATGTCCGTTGGACAGTCTCTTAAGTTCCATTCTGTCTTACATCAAGAAAACTGTTTCCTTGAAGGAAAACAATCAATAATCGAGCAATCTTTTTCAATATTGTTCATCCTATTCCTATAATGCTTTTTTTCAAATACAGTTGATGATACAAATGTTCTTTAAATATCCAATTACAAATGTATATTTGTTATTTCTTTTTCCCGGCAATGTATTTGCCCAGGTAGTTTACAAATGGAATCCGTCCATCCGTCCGTCACGTTCGTTTCCGGAGCAGAACCAAAAAACCATGAGAGATATATTAACCAAAATGGCACATAGTGCCTTTTGATACTTTGGGATTTTAACAAAAGAATTCCCTGGAAATGAATTTGACTTGGACTGAAAATCACCATACGTGGCACAGATCTTGAAAACCGTACAATATTTCTTCACCAAACTTGGCTTACAAATAGGTCTAGTGATAAACTGATGCCTTTTGATAGTTTGGGAATTGTTACGAATCATTCCTTAGTAAGACACAACTCAGAAATCGTTTACGCATTCTACAAAAAACATCTACGCAGGGTTGTCTGAGAATTGTTACCACAATTATTTAATTGAGATGTATACCACTTGACAAAGGAACTTGGACAAGGTATATGGTGAATTATTGTGAAAACACAATTTACAAGTGGCACCCGAACCAGCCTACCCCCTACCAGTGCACGGTGGAAACATGAAAAAAACATGAAACTTGAAGATTTCTTTAATGTGCGGAAGATGACTCTACCCATTCACTCTCAAACTCACTGTCTTGATTGGTGCTGTACTTCTCAGAACACCTGAACTAGAAATATCAGGGACCTGTGAAACCCCCTTAGAAATAACTAATAACTTTGAATTGTTTCATGTCAGTATGACTAGTTTATATGAACACTTCCTCTGCCTGAACCATATTTATGATTGGAATTAGAGTGTCACATGTGAACAAGCTGGTTTCTAATGCATATCTATATTTTCTAAAGATTGAAGTGGGTTCTAACAGTGAAGGACTATTTGGAAGTATCTGCTGTCAAGCTCCATACCCTGACCATAGTCATCAGAGAGTACGATTCAAACCACGTCACGAGTATACGTGGAGGTAACACTGTCAAAAAGTGACGATACCAGGTGTTCTCGAAAACGTGAATGTATCCCGCCCCACAGGTCACAAACAAACGCAAATTCAAGTCAATTGTTGACAAAACAAAACACGTGAACACATGTTATAACATGAACAATCCTCCGTCATCGTTATACATGAATATGTGCAAACTCTTTAGGTGAAAACATATAAGATGCATCATATTGTCCAAATGTCCACATTAATAGAATTTATACCAATGACTGATAATCATCACTGAACGTTGGTTTAACGTCTTGGCCGACATGATATTAGCTTGAAAATAACTGGAGGCTCCAGGAAAAGCGTAAACCTTGTCATTGATAAAGAACACGCTAACCATCACTATGCTTTCATAAGAACTTCGTCAACAAATAACACAGATATTGATTGTTGACAAGTTTTCGTTTATGCACGTACGAAATACATATTACACTATTATACTAATATAGTGATACAAGTACATCTGATCAGCACCATCCGGGGGTCCAAGCGTATCCATATTTTCTAGGATCAGATGCAGGATCCGGTCTGGGGTAATTGGCTGGCACCACCGTCTTCTTGTATTCCTCAAACCGGGCACGCAACTTCGCCACTATGTCCGGCATCTGCTGTGCAAGGTCGTTGTGCTCGGTAGGATCCTCTGGATATGAATCGGAATATTTGTTAACATGGGGTTAAGAGCTTTATATGCAATATGCATTCAACGTGGTTTTGCATTAGATTTTTAACTGCTTGTATTCTTTGGTTTTTATCCACCATTAACGTCTGCAGAGTGTGGGTGTTGCTGGCGCTGCAATCGTTTAACGATGGTCAAGTTCAGTTATTATGTGATAATGAAAACCTGAAGGGAACTAGGCCTTGGAAACCCGTCAGTTTGAATGTATCCAATAATAGACCAGTCATAACCACAAGTCGAAACAAATATACGGTACGTTGGTCACGGTAGCAGTACATGCATGTGCTGACAGGGACTGTGTCATCAGCATGTAGGACATCTAGGGATGACATGACCATTGACTTTATATGTCAAATAAGTGCGGACCCGTGAAGATTCCGGGGTAGAATAGGTCTTCAGCAACCCATGCTTGCCGTAAAAGGTGACTATGCTTGTCGTAAAAGGCGACTAACGGGATCAGGTGGTCAGGCTCGCTGACTTGGTTGATGCATGTCATCGATCCCAATTGCGTGGGTCGATGCTCATGACATTAATCACTGGATTGTCTTGTCCAGACTCGATTATTTACAGACCGCCGTCATATAGCTTAAATATTGCTGAGTGCGGCGTTAAACAAACAACCAACCAACCAACCAACCAACCATCCAACCAACCAAATAAGTGCGTACCGCGAATGTTGAAGAGATGGACTGGTTCATCTCCTGTGTTGTAAACTGTCTCTTCATATTTGTCATCTTTGGTTCCGTTCATGGGTTTGTGCCAGCCATCCGGACCTCCTGGGAACCCGAGGATCAGCTTGTAATCTCCTAGTCTGAGACACAAAAAGGAGACACAGTTACATAAACTCCTTACTTGATTGCTTTAATTACAGGTCCTAGATTTAGCATAGCACAAAATCAAATCGCAATGACAAATGATACTGGTAACACACCTTATCCCAGCATGGCCTTCGACTGGAACTGGAAAGTCATCAATGTTGTAGATGAACTCTGTCCTTGATGAAGGGAGCCCGTTTCGAATAGAATCCCAGTGACTCATTCCATCAATGAAAGTTTCTATTACCCATATACAATGTAAGATGGTAAAAACATTTCGTAGTACCTTGCCGATGATTTTAGCAATAGTTTATCGAACGAACGACACATTCAAAATTGCCTCACTGATTCTTTGAAGTTAGAAAGTAATCTTTCGTGATTGCAATTGCGACAAAATATTTGGAAACATGAAAGAGAATCTCCTTACCTGGAGTTCCCCCAGCAGCAGACACTAAAGTCGGTTTCCAGTCGACGGCGTGGATCATCCTGTTTTGAGGTAGAAGCGATTCACATTTACAATAAACCGCATGTTTTAATCCATCAAAAATTGACTACAACATTTCAAATAGTTTTAGTTTATGTACTAAATAATCAATGAGTGGTATAACAAGAATGTCATCAATGGTGCATTATGAATACACTACCAGTCATAACATTGATATAGTGATATTACACATATGTGGCGATGTGAACATGGTTATGGAAGCATGAACACTGATAATTTTCATATGCTATGTTTTCCTGAATTCGAGTTTCAATCAGGAAGTGTCCATAGTCCTATATTAACTTTCTAAATGTCTGTCGAAATTCTAACAAGGATCATTTATTTTTTCTTTGGATCATCATTGATAAACTTTTCTAAAATAGAATCACTGAATGTGGTTTGATTGTATCCACTGGTGTTACCCATCGTATGTCGTTCTTGTCTTCTTGAGGCCAGCACCATACATGAAGGATGTCCCCCTCGTTCCCCCCTCCCAGATCGTGTACTTTCCCCCTCTCAAAGGCCAGTTGTTGCCATACTTTTCTATATAGCCCCCATTCTGTAAAATCAACGGTTTATTAAAAGGGAGAATGACATGATTATCAGTGTTATGAAACATGAGTATCCAGCTGAACCAATAACATATATTTAATCTTTCATAAACTGAAATAATGGGAAAGTTCAATGTATTTTTCACTCACAAATTTTCAGCGGGAAAGGTGTTATGTTCCTATTGTATAACATGGAACTGCCTTGGTGGCTGTGTGTGTTTCATTTTTTAGCTTTGCACAATGCCGTTTCTTTCATACATCATTTGATAATATTTAACAAGAAAGAAAAGATCTTATTTTGCTGCCGTGTATTGTAAAGTGTCATAAAGTCAAACTGTCATTGGTGTTAAGCAAGCCATATTTATTGTTAAAGATTGCGAGAACTATAGTCTGATTACAAAAAAACATCCACCAAGTACAGGATACGTGAATCATTCTGTAAAATAATGATGTTGATACTGCGGCCAACCTTTAAAATACAGTACCACAAACCTTTCAAACACGTCACAATACCGTATTACGTAATTTGTAGTATTTTGTTGCCAGTCACACCGGCGAAACAATGCCCTGTGACGTCAGGGGTCATCGCGTGTGCATAAGCTCCCCCCAGGTGATCTATCATCTCTACCCGCAATGTCATTGAATACGCCCAGCGGTGTTGAGAGTTTTGAATATTTGTTTACAAAATATAGCCTGCGGCGGCGCATTTTAGAGCAAGCGCTAGTTTACGTTTTTCTCCTGATTCAAGTGGCTAAAATGGTTAATGTACATATATTATTTTTTCGGTTCATTTATTTTCATTATTATGCAAAAGAATGCAGTTTATTAGGGATATTATTTTGGCGCTGAACACAACCAAATGTCGCCAGTGTTAGGGTAGGTTATCCCAAACTCTATCCTTAGCCCTTGGATCCCCTCTACGATCAATCACCCCTACGATCATTAGGTTTAGGTACCCGTTTTTTGGCTATTAGATTACTCGAACTCTATCCTTAGCCCTGGATCCCCTTGACGATCATGAGGGTTAGGTACCCGTTTAGTGGATGTTATAGATTCTATAGCGGCTCCTAATATTCTTCACGCAAAACCGTTGAGTATAAAGGATGAAATGGTTTTGTGTCGAATATTTTGGCTACTGGAAACTGTCCTTGAACATTCACACAAGCCACTTTCACCGGCTATATTTTTTAAGTACTGATTCAAAAGCGAAATCACCGTTGCGTCGTCACCAGCCATGCTCATGCCTCCCTCGTTCCTTACTATTATCCACATCATTCTAACAGTGTTCCCTACCCCACTTTTCTGTCACAAAATCCGACCGACGAATTATTATGTCATTCATGCGTACTCCCGAGTTCGATGTCTGACGTCTAACGCCCCGAGCCGTTTTTAATTCGCGCTATATTGGCTCATTCCTGACCACGGACCTGTAGATTACGGAATGGGACGAGTGTGCCGAATGACATCGAGATCATTCGTAAATGTCCGTAGACTAAAGTCACGATCGCGAGACACCGTGCCTACCCGTAACCTTCGTAAGTGTCCGTCACCTATTCGACCCTTTTCGTTCAGTTCCGTAACGTCATAGGCATGACTAGGTAAATTTGCACTTATTTTCACAGTGTGGACGTAGCTCGGTCGGTTAGCTGTCGGGCTAACAATCCGAAGGTCGCGGGTTCACGTCCGACGGATTCTCACAAAAACTGTTTGCTTGTCTTTGCGACATGTGATCTACGGCAGCGATCGTCCTCACGAGAGGTTGTGGCACTTTATTCTAAAGGTGCTCCGATACTGCAACTGCAAGTACTTACGTCTGTGGTAAATAGAATCAGAGTATTTCCAAACAAACCCCGATCCGTCAGGGCCCGAGTAATATTTCCAACCGCCTCATCCAGGGCAGACACCATTCCTGCAAGTAATGAAAGTAGTGGGTCAGTGCTTTGAAAAATATTTCAGATATGGCATTCCCCTTATGTAACTCAGCTCCACAATAATTCAATATTACTTGGCACTATAATAATTTTCTTTCTGAGAAACACAACATGAGGTTTGAGAATATGAGTGAGACAATTGCATGAATGAATATATAGGAAATACGGACATTAATGTGCATACCGCTGAACTTTCTTCGCCCTTTGTTAATCACGTTCAGATACATGTCCTCGTACTTCTTAGGCACCTGTGGCGTCCATTGTTGAGGTACATACATTGACAAACTGAACACATTCATTGCATTGTGAATAAATAGAGCATCTAGAGCATAGTGACACAACTATTATCATATTAGCATAATCATAATTTGCCACTTTCAACAGTATTCCATTTATATCACGGTGTGTCAGTATCATATGGGAGGAAAGCCCAAAGTGAAGTAGTCTTTTTGGTGAAACCCACGAGCACTGGCAAAGTGCTGACAAGACCAAGAAAAATAAGACTGGGCCGCCCTGCCGCCGAAATGGTAATGAATTGATCCATTCGTGACTATGTATATGACACTCTTAATAGCAACGTCTTTCGGAAATAATAAAACTGACGTTAATGTTAAAATTGGACAGACTCAACTGTAGGCGGAGAATCTAAACGTATACTCGTTTTCAATACTGTGATTCAATTACCTCCATAGGAGCATGTACATTCTGATAAGGGAGATACATAAATAGAGGCTGTGATACATTATGTCGATGGATGATGTCAACGGCTCTCTGGGCGAATGTGAACTGAAAGGACAATAGGAATGTACACAATGATCAAACCAATAAAAGACTTTAGATTTGTTACAAAACGTAAGTATTTTAAAAATATAATCGTGATTGATATAAAGATTGTCAGCTACCCTTAACGGCAAATTGCCCTTGCATACATACAGCAGAATATTCTCCAGAATAGTTTCTTGCCGGTCGCTGATTGTCCCTGTAGTCTAAGTACCCTCCTGTTGGAATATTAAAGAAAATAGATCAAAATACATCTGCAAAGAATGTATATAAAAAACGTAAATTCACGAAGCGACCTTTAAGAGAAGCTTTCTAGAAACCTTACAACCAGAATAATACGCACCAACAGTGTGATTGAAGTAGTCTTCAGCTCCATTATAATAACCAAAGAAAGTATCGAAGCCTCGGTACGTCGGTGTGCACTCCCACTTGCAATAACCCAGGTGCCATCTGAAATTGTAGTGCATATGATAAGTGTACAGATACATACTGCCACTTACATACACAACACAATTCCTGTGCACCATAAAATTCACATTAAAATACAGCTTCGAAGGTGTTTTTTCCTTAGAATCATGCATGGTTATCATATGTACAAACACTTTGTCAAAATAACCCCATGATGACCCTGATAAAATCACTTGCATCTCGGGACATTGCATGTACTAATCCCTCGAGTAAGAATTTCGTCTCACATTCACAGTACACAGCCAAACCCTATAAAGGTTATGCCACACCTTTCCTAAAATGCGCGGTTGCATGCGATTGGAATGTTTGAAACTGTAATTGCACTAAACGTTGTTGCTGAACATTTTTGTGTTCATCGTAACGCTTATCATTCAGTCTTGGAACACCAGGGACCGACCACCATCACGACATCTACGAGTAATCTCACGTTGGGAAGGTCATCAAGGTCAACTTTATCAGCCCACATCATCCCTGGCTTACCTCCGTGCAAGTACTGTGAGGAATCGACGATGAGAGCATAACATCTGACCATGACCTCAAACGACGTTTACGTTTGATGCAACGTCACTGGACTGTACGCCTGTCATGGTCAAGACAACATCTAAGATTCAAGTTACAGGACTAGAGGTCCTCTTTAAGGATTAGTCCAGGTTACATTTTGACAGCAGTGATGATCGTCAGCGTGTTTATCGACGCCGAATGGCGTGTTCAACGTAGTGCATTTCGGTGGCGGGAGTATAATGGGATGGGAAAGCATCACTGCACACCACTGGACCCCTCTAATGATCATCCTTCAGACCCATGGCCGTCACATCATTTTACATCATGACAATTCACGCCCTTAATTTCGTCTGCACACGAGAGCTATCGCCCATTGAGCATGTGTGGTATGTAAAGAAACGTCATTTACGCCTGTTTCCAAACCTATCAACATTGGTTCAGCTGTGACAAGTGATGGTCCAGAACTGAAATGACTTCACATAAATCTTCCTCAAACATCTTATGTTGTCAGGTAGGCGCCGTTCTCAGTATTTTGTCACTGCTGATGGTGGTCCTACCTGATACTGACCCAATACTGACCCAATACTGACTTGTGAACTGACAACTGACCGTACACATAGTATGTAATAAACTATGTTTTCATTTGGTCCAGTTAAATGTCAATAGCTGTTTGTATTTTCATTGTAAAGTAATACCTACTTTCCTATCATGTGCGTAGCATAGCCGAGTTTCTTCAGTTTCTCAGGCAGGAAGGTATAGTTGAGGGGCACACACACTGCTTGGGCATGGAACACTGTCTTATGCTAAATATGAATTTGTCTTTGTGAGAAATTCCTGCATGCTCACATGGGACATTACATGAGATCAGTTTCATCAGGAACGTGAATGATTAAAGATCAGAAGTAGATGTAAACAAGTCATATGCACTTATGGCTTTAACAAACATTTAAGCTAGCCTGACAATCCGATCCCATTAATCGCCTCTTACGACAAACAAAGTCGCCTCTTACGGCAAGAATGTGTTTCTGAAGGCTTATTCTAACCCAGACCTTCACAGGTGAATCATTTAAATGGTCATGATAACTCTGACAATACATCTTGTGTGTTTATTCGAAAACATGGTCAATTGAACATTGTGAAGGGTTTCTCCTTCAAGAAGCGGGAGAATATCCCTAAATAGATTGTTAGGAATATATTGCTCAATGCGTTTTTGTACGTCCTAATATTTATGAATTGATCGACATAATTACCTGCATGCCTACATGGAATGGAAACATTCCACTCATAAAGGCGGTACGGGATCTGAAACAATGAGTGTACTGATATTTGTGTAATATTGTAATGCAATTACAAAGGCATTTCGACACTACAGCTCCACCTAAAACCTGTTCAATATTGTTTTATCTATTGGTATTTGTTTTTTAAAACTTGAAAACATGTTCGTCTCCATGTGCATGGAATGAATGTCTACTGTAACTTATTTGATAATTTATATTTTGTTGAATTGCAACTGAAGTTACAATCAATGTCTTTTCTTATGCCTCATTAAAATGAGAATGGAACAATATAACCAATTTACGGGCTGCACAGAGGCTGGACATATGCATTTTCGAAGATGATTCCTTCTGTGGCCAATTTGTCGATGTTTGGGGTCTTCATGTCGGAATTCCGGAAACCAACATCATTCCAGCCTGTACAAACACACAGTCTCCTATGAATACTTGGTTTTATAGTATAAATATATCTACTTTGAAATGAGATGCATTTAGAGTGGCATACTGTTTCAGTAGGTAGCTCACTTAAATCACTTTCTGATTGCCTTTACTATCTACACTCACCTAAGTCATCAGCCACAATGAACACGATGTTCGGACGCTGTGCTGATGCCAATGAAAAATAAAATAAACATAAGAACAGAGCAAGGAGCTGTCGAACGTCCATCATGTAGTTCATTGAGCAAAAATGAGACCGTATGATGGTATCTGCCTATGTATAGATATTTCAATGTCATGGACTAGACTGATAAAGCATATCTCCACTTGACAGATATGCTCATATTTTCACTTGACATATATGCTCTGGTATGTGTCACAATTACGTTTGACCATGCTTAATTAATAAGTAGGAACGTTTTAGCATACTTTGTGAGATTGATGGAACGTCGCGATCGCATATTTTAGTCCAAGAATCTGTATGAAACAGGTTTTAAGATCACCATGATCCATGGAATGATCATAATGACTGGGCTATACATTCCTGGCAGATAACAAAACTATGCAACAACAACCGTGATATAAATACCAGTCAGATTAAACATCATGTTCACATGCTTATTGTAGACATTTGCAGCCTTTGGCAAGGGTAGAATATCGATACATACATTTTGCTTATAAAATACAATACATATTTGAGAATGCCGAGATGGTATGCCAAGCTGGTCAGGTTCTCCAGGAAGCATTCAAGCTATGTTGGTGTGTTTGTTGTTCATCGCCATACGCCGCAACAGTCCAACCATATGCCAGCGACCTATTGAGGGAATAGGTATGCAGTATTAGAACATAAGGAGTGTCCTTGGGTCCTTAAGGAATGTTTCTATATTATACCTCTCTGGGTCGTTAACATTGTGCACAAGGCTTGTGACCCTTTGCTTGTAAGTCTTGCGTAGGGTACCGAGTCTCTAATCTAACCTGAAACACACAGGGACCCGTCAATCTGAAACACATGGCTCCATGAAACTCAATGTTGTGTTTTGGGATCGTGAAGATGTAAACACTTTTGGAAAAAGGTGATCCTCATGACACTAAGTTTGTATTAAGTATTATACAGTATACACGTATACACTGTAGTGTTATTGTAAATTCCTGTTCCTGTTCCTTCCTTCATGAGATGGCTTCATATAGTCACGTGTCGCTGTATTATACGTTCACTCAAGCATCAGTAGTTGTCGTCTTCTTTTTCTGATGGGTCTTATCTGTAAACCTTTAGTTTCGGTAGGGAAGGATCGCCACAGATAAGTAGTTGTAAGTAGTAGTACGCACGGTAGTATTGGGTTTTTAAAGATCATGTAAACATAGAATGAATGAAGTGCCTTCAAGTATTAATCTTGTATTTTACATATGTTCACATCAATGATGGGCTTCACACATTGAACCTACTGAATTATGCAGTCAGCCAAGAATTATATAATGACAATTATATAATGGTAATGCACGTTTCCACACGGAGAAATAGAACTAGAACACAGAGACAAATCGTCAATAGGCATTTAGAAGTTGGTGTAACTTCTTTATTACAATTAAGAGCGACGGCGTTGGTTCTAAAACCGTTTTCAAGCAAGTTGTATACAGAGTATGGTTAACAAGTAAATATACAGGTAGGAGGCAATGTTTATACAGTAGAGTAGTTATCTCATGTAGTATTACTGGAATGGAGAAGCCTGTTATGTACACAAAAGGGTAGTAAAGACAATTATCGGCGAAGTCGGTAACATAAACAAAAGGATGACGCCAGTAATATAAACAACAGGATTATGGTAGATTAGGGTCTTTGATGAGTGGATAGTACGCTGGGGGTATGTAATAGCCTTGGTCACGGTTGAAACAGGGTTGGAGTCTTTTGATGTTGATAGCTTCTTGAAGTTTTCTGATTTTGAAGTCTTTGAGGTTGGTGGTGGGAGCTTTCACTTTATCCAACACAATGCTGTGGCTTGGGTTGTCACGGATATGGTCTGATAGAGCCGATTTTGGGTCATCCTTTGAGACTGAGCTTTGATGTTCTTTAATTCGGGTTTTATGGGGCCTAGAAGTTTCTCCAATGTAAGCTTGTCCACAATTGCATGGAATGTGGTACACTGCACCTGATGGTTCTAGTTTGTGTCTAGATGGCGGTTTCCCTGTGGCTGTTATTGTGTTCTGAATGGTATGACTTCTCTTGAAAACTAGATCAATGTAGGGGAGGCTGATCACAAAGGGTGCAGACTGTTGAGATGAAATGAGGCCGCATGCTACTATGTGACTATAAATATACCTTTAATGTCATAGACTAGACTGATAAAGCATATCTATACTTCCACCTTGACCTACATGTTCTGGTAGTTGACGTTATCGTGTGTTCACGAAATGGAACAGTTTTAAACAGCTATCTGAACCACATACTGTTAACAAGGACTGTGCTATACATTCCTGTCAGATTACGAAACAATGCAGCGACGACTGTGACATAAAGTCCTGACAGATAAAGAAAATGTGCTGACATGTTTGAGTGGATACTAATTGGGGATTGGTAATTCAGGGACCTGCCTGCCACTCCACATTATCATTGTGCATGAGGTATTTATGACGGAATGATGACTGCGTGAACAGCCAACTCATTTTTGAGGATGTGAAGATGTAAACCCTTCATGACTAACGTTAGCCACAACAGACGGACTTAGTATTAAGTAGAGCACACATGCTTACTACATTATCATTGAAAGCCAATACTCCTTTTTTCAATTCGGGAAGATCGGTACATGTAGTTACGTATGAAGGTATGATACCATCACCATAGCATAAGTATGCGTCATCTCGAAGCAGGGCAGGTACCGTATTACTTTAACAACTTTGTTTTGACTGAAGCACTTCAGTTTTTTTAATATTGCCCCAGGAAAGTCAAAACAAGTTAGTATTCACGAAGCAAGCGTCTAAATATACACATAAATCTAAAGCTAAGTCTCACGTGTGTAATTAGGTCCATTTCACCGACATCTCATCGCTTTTTGGTCATATTTAAACATTGAGACTCTGTCTTGAACTGTAACTTTTATCAACATCATGGCACGCCTACTGTTTAATTTTATTTAAATGTGGTGATTTTGTAGACCAAGCGAATTTTACCCAAAATGTCCGGTGATTTTGTACCCATTTTGTTGTGGCATCAGGCCAAGTTTCTAAACTATGTATTAGTTTTAGTATCCTGAAAGTTACATTACTAGGCCTATCACTGTCCTGTATCAGCATACTATTAACGTATGTAGGTGATACACTTTAGCCATTGACACACAAGTTTGTAGAGATAGGGGGTCAGCTCAGACGATGGTAATAGCCATTTAGAAAAAGACGACAGAAATTCGCAGGACACGGCACAACTCAGTTGCGTTATGAACCTCAACTCCTGCTCAAACATATCACCAAGTGTGTGTGTGTTTGGGGGGGGGGGGGGCGAGGAAGTTGTTTAAATAAGGCACTTGGTGAGGCTAGAGGGTGGCTGGCTTTTGGTATTAAATGTTGGCAGTGTTCTATGAGGGAGTGGTAAAGTGGATCTTTTTCATCATTTTCTGAAAGAAAACATATTTCTTTGTGAATATCTGGAGTGAGTTTGTGGTACATAGAGGGGCTAAAGATTTTGAGTGAATGACAATTTTTAAAATGGTTTCACCGAAGTGGTCATCGAACGTCTGAGCCCTGCATCACTTCGGGCTTTCATCCCACCTTAAGCTGACACGCCTCGATATAACTGGAATACTGTTAAAAGCGGCGATAAACCCAACTCACTCACTCACTCAACAACATACCAAGATTAACAGATCGCTACATCCGACTGCGCCACGTACGTGAAAGGACGAACACAGCCACCCCAACCGCATCTTAAATACCGGGACTGTGCAGAATCTTCAAACAGACAGTCCGAAACCGTTTAAGAGCAGCTGGTCTAAAAGCAAGACGTCTTGTTCGACGCATCATATTGAGTCGACCACATCGTCAACAACGACTGCATAGGTGTCCTCAACACAGGGTATGACCTCAACTGCGATGGAGAGATGTCTGGTTCAGCGACTAATCAAGATTTCTCCTCAGCCGAGGGAATGGAAGAACACAGGTCTACAGACGTCGGGGAGAAAGTTACGCTGGAAACTGCATACAGGAAGCGGACAGGTAGGGTAGGGGTAGTATTATGATGTGGACGGCTATCGCTTATCATGGCAGGACAGGTTTGGTCCATATCAAGTGCAATTTTACGGCTCAACGATACATCAACGAAATTCTCCTGCAACACGTCCTCCCAATTGCAACGGTGTATTCCAGCAGGACAACCCTCGACCGCATGCAGCAGGGATCACAAGAGCCTGTCTACACAACAGCAACGTTGTCCTCCCCTGGTCCTCCAGATCCCCGAATTTGAACCTGATAGAGCACCTGTGGGATGAATTGGAAAGACGGCTACGCCGATGTCAACCACAGCCCCAGACATTGCACCAGTTTGCCTTTACATTGCAGGACGAGTGGGCTACTATTCCCCAGGTTGTAATTAGCAGACTCGTCTCTTCCATGGGAGATGTCAGGCCGCTATCGATTCCAACGGGGTACGTACGCGTAATTGATGGTAGCTGACCTTCACCTTGGACTTTTCCTATGTACCGATAACTGAGTTGACTTCTGTCACCAAATGTTCTCTCAACAACATTTTGGTTCAATACCCTGTATGGTTCCCCCGTATAAATGTATTTTCCTACCTTACATTAATCTGGCTTTGCGTTTCTTTTTTAACTGTATATTTGTGCGTGGCTGTGAGGGGATAAGAGTGTGTGTATATGTGTTTTGCCTGAAATGTCTTGATGTGTTGTCTTTTATATTGTAAGAAGAGTGTATTTAAAGTATGCATGTGTAGAATAAATGTTGTTTTTATGAGAACTTTACATATTAGACAGAACCAAGTGGAATGGCGATAGTTGAGTTTGTTCATGCCCACCTTTAGTCTACAGGGGTTGTATTTTATGTAAAATGCCAGAAAAATTTACTTCAGAGACTTGTGCATTTATTATTTAGTGTGGTCATGTTGTTGGGGAAGTGTGTAGTCGTTTGAACTTTTCTTGTGTTAGTTTTTCAGGATTGTTTTGGATGGGTGCTAATGTCTGCCTAACATACTGCAATTAAAAACGCGAGGAAAATGAAACATTTA